AATAAAAATTGATTTTAAATTAATTAATTAACTAATTAAAATCATCTATATAAATATCAATTTTTATAATTTTTTTTATCGAAATTAATTATAAGTAAATATAAATATTTATATTATTATATTTTTGACTTATAATATATTAATGAATTTTTCTTACAAAGGTTGATGTACTAAAATCACCTTAGTAAGTGGATTAGTCGCTCCAAGTAATATAATGATGAGAGAGTATCGAACCCACAAAAATTGTGTCCAATTAAGTACCAAAATAATTAATCTAAATTTTTTTGAACTATCGAAAAGGAAGAAAGTTTAACTAAAAAATAATAAAAGGAAAATAACAATTAAACCTTGGATATTGTTATATAGAGAAAGTACAAATCCATAAAGGGAACATATATGAATCCAATAAAAGGAAAAACCTTGGATATTGTCATATAGAGAAAAACAATAGGAACATAAATTAGTATAAAAGGAAGAGAAACTCGTATAAAGTATAATTAGCTTGTAAAAAGGGGAAAAAAAATTGTTTGCTGGTAGAAAGTGGTGGGGTGAAGAGATATGATGTTACCGTATTTCTGAATTATATCAATGACTTGTGGAGACAAGAAAATCACATGTTTATAGTCTCATTTATAAGGTAATTACTTTGATACTTACTCTTCTAGTTTCTACAGCAATAACATAAAAAGTATTTTCTACCATGAAAATAGTGAAAATGAGATTTCGCAGCAAAATGGAGGATGAGTCTCTTTCAAACTCTTTGATTATTTATATTGAAACGGAAATAGTTTAGTCATTGAGTGTATAAACAATATTATAAATAGATTTTATAACATAAAGACTTGTCAAGTATTATTTTAATATATAATATAAAAGTAAGCTTTCAAAATTACAATACATTATTTTAAGACTTGAAAAGCCGGCTCCCCTTGACTAAAATTCCTAGCTCCGCCCTTGCGCTTTATTATATCCTCCCTTGCCGGGTTGTGTTGTACTCAGCAGCCCTACAAGAATCCTTGGGTGTGGAAAAACTGGACGAAACAGGTAAACTAAAGTTTATTAGAGCACTACAATACTATCTGCATTAATATACCAGCATCGAGGCAAAAAGTGAGTAATATATAATACAAATTGTTTTCTACGAACCGAGTATAAATTCACAGAATTCGATGCCCCTGATAACAATAGCTCTATCACCTGCAGAATACGGAACCAGGGAAGCCGCTTGAAGAAATTCGACATTCTCGCCATGACTTGAGGAAGAAAGGAAATAATTAATTTGCTTGTGAGTGCCTCTTCTTCATCACCAGTATTTATTGAGCAGATAAAAAAGTCAAGTCAAGCTTCAGAAATTTCCCTGTAACTTCGTGATTTAGAAAGTATCAACATCCCATAGCCCAAAATTCTAACCCAAAATTCTAACTGGAACTTTATTATTTAGAAAGTGTCAACATTCCTAACCCAAAATTCTAACTTGAAATTTCCATGTAACTTCATGATTTAGAAAGAGTCCACATCCCTAATCCAAAATTCTACCAAACCTGTTATTAGAAAGTTAAGTCAAGCTTTGGAAATTTCCCTGTAACTTTGTGATTTAGAAAGTGTCAACATCCCTAACCCAAAATTCTAACTTGAAATTTCCCTGTAACTTTGTGATTTAGAAAGTGTGAACATCCCTAACCCAAAATTCTAACTTGAAATTTCCCTGTAACTTCGTCATTTAGAAAGTATCGACATCCCTAACCCAAAATTCTAACTTGAAATTTTCGCGATTTAGAAAGTGTCGACATCCCTAACCCAAAATTCTAACTTGAAATTTTCGCGATTTAGAAAGTGTCGACATCCCTAACCCAAAATTCTAACTTGAAATTTCCGCGATTTAAAAAGTGTTAACATCCTTAACCCAAAATTCTAACTTTAGAATTTTGGGTTAGGGATGTTGACACTTTCTAAATCACGAAGTTACAGGGAAATTTCCAAAGCTTGACTTAACTTTCTAATAACGGTTTGGTATGTGGAAATATGCATCACCAAAAATTGAATACTCAAAAAGTGTCGACACCCTTGACCCAAGAGTCTTTAGAAGCAGATTTTTTTCAACGCCACCCAAGAACGAATGATGGAGAGGAAGCCATGTGTGTTTTGGGAGTTAATTTGTGTGTATCTTAAAAATATATATTTTCTTAATTTGAATTAATGTAAAAACTAAAAAATTTATAAAAACATATTTTTTATTAACTATTTCAAAAAAAATTAAATTTTAATCAATAAAATAAAAAATGAATTCACTTCCAACAAAATCACAACTCTTTATATGGGAACCATATTAGTTGAATAAAGATTTTACATGCAAAATAGGTTAAAATATTGCAAAATAAAAAAAAAAAACTCTAAAAAATATTAAGAAAAATCTAATTTAGGCGTATTAGTATCACATCAATTAAAAATAGACCCAAGATCTAACAAGCATCAAAAGTGATATTTGTGGAATGATAATTTCTATATTGATTTCATGGAAAGATATACATGTATTACATTTCAAGAAGAATGGAAACTAAATCAGTAAATACAAGGTAACTATCCTAATAATCAAAGATACAATATTGAATGAGAGATCAATCAAAGATGCACTGTTGAATAGAATCAATCTAGCTCAATCAATAGTTGTTTCCTTAATACGCCATCTTAAGATGGAGCTCCCATCGGTGACTCCAATCTTGCACCGAAGTTGAACAAAACGATGCATGGAAAGTGGTTTGGTTAGGCCATTGGCTAATTGATCAAGAGTGGAGATATGGCTCACTTGAAGAACCTTGTGATCAACTAGTTCTCTAACAAAATGGAGATCAATTGCTATATGCTTCCTCCTAGTATGCAGTACTGGATTGCTACTTAGATTTGTAGCTCTAACATTGTCACAATAAATGGTAGGACATTCAGATACAAGATGACCAAGTTCATGAAGTAAATGCTTAATCTATACCAAATCAGAAGAAGCAGTAGCAAGTGCACGATACTCCGCCTCAGTAGAACTTCGAGCAATAGTTTTCTACTTATAGGCACGCCAAGAAATGGAATTGCTATTGAGAAACACCACATATCCAATCATAGAATGATAAGTGTCTTTGTCACCAGCCCAATCTAAATAAGAAAAAGAATGTAAAAGAGATATGGGTTGTCGACGGAGAAGAAGACCATGAAATAAAGAACCTTTTAGATACCGCAAAATCTACTTCACAACTTGCTAATGAACATCAGATGGAGCATGAAGAAACTGAGATAACTTGTTAACAGCAAAACAGATATCCGGCAGAGTAAGAGAAAGGTATTGTAGAAAACCAACAAGTTGACGATATGGTTGAGCATCAGAGAGCCAATTGCCTTGATGTAAGTGCAATGATACAATGGACATGGGGGATTGCACGGGCTTAGCATCACTCATGCTAAACTTGGCCAAAAGCTCACGAATGTATTGAGATTGTGATAGAAAGAGACCAGCATTATTAAAGATAGCATTCACACTAAGAAAATAATTAAGGAAACCCAAATCTTTGATAGAGAAAGTGGCACCCATTAAGGAAATGATTGATTCAACTAGCTTCTTTGTACTGCCCATAACAATAATATCATCAACATAAAATAAGAAACAAACCCATTCTGATTGATAATGAAAAATAAATAGGGAAGAGTCTGATTGTGACCTCACAAAGCCATTCTGAAGAAGAAAAGTTTTGAGCTCTTTGTACCAAGTATGAGGAGCCTCTTTGAGACCATAGATGGACTTACAAAGGTGACAAACATGCTAGGGCAAAGAGCTATCAACAAAGCCTGGCGGTTGCTCCATAAACAATTCCTCTTCCAACGTCCTATGCAAAAATGCAGTATTAACATCTAATTGACGAATAGGCCAGTTTTTATTTATAGCCAATGAAAGTACTATGCGTATGGTTGTGGGCTTGATCACCAGACTAAAGGTATTAAAGTAATCTCACCCAGGTTGTTGGTGAAAACCTTTAGCCACAAGACATGCTTTGTACCATTCAATACCACCTTCTTTATTTCTTTTGATATGGAACACCCACTTGCAGCCAATGGCATTTTGAACACTAGTGTGAGGAACAAGTTCCCAAGTACCCTATCTAACCAAAGCATTAAACTCATCAGGCATGGCCTAACACCATTGAGGATTTTTCAAGGCTTGACTGACACCATTGAGAACCTTCTTCTTCCCCACGCACGCCGGCCTTCTCCCTTTTCTTCTCCCGCACTAGTGCCCCCTACGCCTAGATCCCCTGCTGCTGCACCTCTGCGTCGGCCTTGCACTCGTGTGCCAAGCCCAGATCCTTTGCTATCGCGAACCAGCCTTGCTCCACACCCCTTGCTTACCGCGAACCAGCCTTGCTCTGCACCAAACCTGCTCTCTGCGCCCAGATCGCCTGCACTCTGTGCCTAGATCGCCTATAATCATACCCCCTGCACACCGGCAATCATGCCCTTACACGCCTCCTACACCGCCCTCTCTTCTGCACCGTGCCCCTGCCCTTGCCGCCTGCGCCCCTATTGCTGCTGCACTCTGCGCCCCTGCCTCTTGCACGCTACAGCCATGCCCTTGCCTCACCTACAGAAAAAACAGCACATACCAAACAAAATTGGCATCATTTTTATTTTATTTCATTTTTATTTTGTTTTATCATTTGGGTGTATATATAGAGCAAAAGTAGAGTAGGGGGGTCTTTGGTTGATTTCGGAGAAAGACGGGTTGTTTTTCTGTGCTTGTTGTTTGGTGTTTGTGTGTTGAGAACATTGGTGAAAGGAAGAGCATTCTGTTGGAGGCATCACTGGATTACTAGTGGGAGATAGAGGTTTAGTTCTTTCGGTAATTTTCTGAAACTAAGAAATTTCAAGAAAGGGTGGTGAAGGTGACGAATAGAGCTTGATCCCGTGGATGGGGTTCCTCTGTTTGAAACTGGATCTGCCGTCTTTTCTCTGGAATTTTCAGTTCTAGATTTCTATGTTTGTTGATGTATGATGTTATTTTGGTGATTGATACCGAGACATATGGTAATTGTTGATGAATGAATGACAAGTTTTACTCGTACGTAACTAATATGTGTTGAATTTGAAATTGAATGCATGATTTCCGGAAAAAAAAAATTGTTTGAAATGAATATGAACCTTAATTTTAAATGTCTTCTTCCATGTTTGATCTGATTTCACTTGTTTTGATTGACGGGTTGTGTTTTTGGGCTAAATGGATCCAATCCAATCCACTAAAAAAAAAAAAATGATAATAATAAATAAATAAATAAGTAAAATAATAATAATAAATAAATGAAGTATAGTGTTAAAATTTTAGTATATGATTGATCTTAGTTGGTTGATGGTATTATCTGTTTCTTTTGTGGCAGCTCATGGAGTCCCCAGGTAGCATAACCTCAAGAAAAATGGTACAAACACTGGAAGATAACAATAGCAT